TGCCACAAAAGAAGTCAGAATGAAAATGATAACATGTTTTATTGAAACAGTAATGAAATATAACATATCAAAACTAGAAGAAACTAAAATATTACTTAGAAGAAAATTTGTCCCTTCGTTTCCATGTGAGCAAAGAATATGAGATTTAAAAGCAATCAGTGAGCTTTCTATCCACCTCAAGGTGTTAGAAAAAGAGCACATTAGGCCTAAAATCGTGGTGGGGAAGAAATGAGAACTAGCAGAACAGGAAATAGTTAAATAACAACTAAATAACTTGTAGTTTCATTGCGTATATGAAGAATCCATAGGAATCTATAAGAACCTCAAATCTATAATTAATGTGCAATTAGCAAGATTGCAGACTACCTAGTAGACAAACAAAAATCTATTTCATTGTTATATTTTATCAATAAACAATTTTAAAGTAAAATTTCACAGTAATACATTTATAGTAATATCAATAACCACATATTTAGGGATAAACTTAACAAAATATTTGTATGTGAAAATTAAAATGACAAATATGTGTGAAGATTCATACTATCTCCGGGAGCTGGTAGATCCAATGTTATTAGCATGCCATTTCTCCTTAAGTTGACCCAGAAATTCAAGGCAATACAATAAGAGTACTAACCTTTTTAAACAGAGACTTAAAACATAAATATAATATTTATTTTGGGATACCAAAAATCTAAAATAGCCAAGACAAGTTTGCAAAAGAACACATTACATACATTGCTTTTAATCACAGCAGTGTGGCCTTTGCATAAGGATATGCATATAGACACTGGAACAGAGGGCCGAAGAAACAGACCTACGTATGCATGGCCAATTAATTTTTGACAATAGTGCTAAGATAATTGAATGGGAAAACAAAAGGTTTGGAATTAATGATGCCATAACAATCGGATAGCTGTATGTAAAAAGAAGAATAAAAAGGAGCTTACCTTGACCACTACCTCATAGCACCCACAAAAATTAACTTGAACTATGTTCCTAAATGTAAAAGCAAAAGTTACAAAGTGCTTAGAGAAAATCAGGAGACTATCTGGGTGTCCTTAACTTAGAGTTTTCTTAACAAACAAAAAGCACTAACCTTACATTGGACTTCATCAAAATTTTAAACTTTTTCTCTTTGAAATGAATGACATGAAAATTGCAAGCCACACATTAGGAGGAAACCCATAATATGTATATTTGATAAAGGACTTGTATTCACAACACATAAGTGCTCTTACAACTCAAATAAGACAGACGGTTAGAAAAATAGGCAAAATATTTTAACATATATTTCACCAAAAATATGTACAAATTATTGATAAGTCCATGAAAATATTCAACATCTTTATGCATCCGGAAAATGCAAATTCAAACCATGATATATTACTGCATGTCTATTGAAACCAAATGCACTATCATCCAGTCCATGCTGATGCACAGGGGCCCCATGTGCGACAGAGCGGCACTGCCCCTTAGTGTTTCCAAGACGGTAAGTCTTCATGGGAGCAGTTGGCCTCATTTTCCTCCTGCAGAGCAGCTTGTGTGTTTGAACCACTGAACTTGCTGTTATAGTTCACTGCATCACCCACTGTGCCAACAAGACTCCTTCCTACATAACAACTCAAAGCAAACAAATTCACTGCTATCAAGTCCATTCCAACTCATAGCAACCCTAGAGGCCCGAGCAGACTGCCCCTGTGGGTTTGCCAGGCTGTGAATCTTCGAAGGAATAGAAAGCCTCATTGCTCTCCCTTGAAGGAGTAGAAAGCCTCATTGCTCTCCCTTGAAGCAAGTGGTGGAATTGAATTTTGCTTTTATGAATCGGGCGACCCCTGTGAAAGGGTCGTTCAACCCCCAAAGGGGTCGCAATCCACAGGTTGAGAACCACGGATCTAGAACCATTTGCTCTTGCAACCCTTGTTTACTGTCTCCCTACTAGTATGTTCCTTGAGGATGAAGATTCAACCCCAAATCCACTCATTATTTCCTAAATACATCATGTGCATTTGTCCCTTTGCCACCTCCATACACATGCTCACTTTCTCTGCTTGGTAATACCCTTTCTTCTCCTCTCTGACAATCAAAGACCTTTCTCATTGAGGTCAAGGCAAGTCCTATGAGCCTTTCCCAGTGACCTCCTTTCTCATCTATGATTTTTCAGGATCCTTGGTTGTCCAATGTTTAAAGCACTTGACTGCTAACAGAAAGATTAGCCCTTCCAAACCACCAGCAGCTCCTCAGAGGAAAGATGTAACAGGCTGCTTGCACAGAGAACATCTATGGGGACAGTTCTACTCTGTCCTATAGGACAGCGATGAACTGGAATCAATTGAACCGCAATGGCGTTTGGTATCTATTTAACACGTAATTTGATACCATAGTTTTTCTTTTTAAGTATATAGTCTGTCTAACCACTTAAAATGTCAACACCTTAAAAACATGAATTCTGTTTTATACTTGTTTTTTTCTATTAACTTATCTAGTACTGTTGTTGTTGGGTATCTTTCAGTCTATTTCGACTCATAGTGACCCCGTGTAGCAGTAAAACTATCCCATAAGGCTTTCTAAGCTGTAATATTTACAAAAACAAATTGCTAAGTCTTTTTCACACTGAGTTGCTGAATTGATTCAAACAGTCAACCATTTGGTTTGCAGCCAAGTGCTGCCAGGTTCATATAATGTAGTACTAACAGGTCACAATAAACATTTATTTATTTCTAATGATGGTTAGTCATTTAGCCTTGATGCAATACATCATGAAAGAATTGAGGCTCTTTTAAAACCCAATTTAGATTATAATTGAATAATGAAGTTGTCTAGTGAAGAGTAGTAATTAAGCTTTCTATAAAATTTGGTCTAGCAGACAAGGGGATTTCATGGAAAATGGAATTAAAAGATAGTGGGATTTTTTCCATCAATGTTTTGAAGGCCCCTTGTATGTACACTGATGCACATGAGAGCACATTTACAGAATACACAATCACAATTACATATGGTCGTTGCGCTGTGTTGATGTATCACAACTCAGTTTTCAAAGCCACATCTTACAGTCCATTCCAGGACACCTGTGTTCACAGGGGCAGTTCTTAGAAACTATATTTGGATGTGTAGGCTATTAAAAGCTTCGTGTCCAGCGTGACCTTTCAGACTGAATGTGGATCAAATGCCCGGGCCTGTTGCTGAATAGAAGACTGCCGACAACTCTGGACGCAAACCTCTATTGGGTGTTTGTTTTGTTTCAGTTTGCTTAATTTCCTGTTGCTTTAAGAAGATGAACAATGAGACCTCGACACCGATATCCTTGAGGGTGGCGATGAAAAGGTGGATAATAGCTATGGAGAGGGACTAAGCGTGGGCCTTGCTCTAGGGGGAAGATGGGTCTGAGCATATGAAGAATAAAAATAGGCAAAGAATTACAGATATGCTAATTAGACTTCTATCTCAGTTAACGTTGCTCACTTATTCTGGCTTAAAATATGTAATTTAAGAATCAAGAATAGAGGATCTATTCCCAGCTGCTACAATTCCCTTCATCTTTTGAGTATCTCCTATGCATGGGATACAAAATGCTGGAAATATAACAATAGGTGAAATGCGGCTTCTGCCCTCAAGGAGCTCACAGACTGCGGGGAAAACCCACACCAGCCCATTGCCATTGGGTCAATCTCAACTCCCAGGAGCCCTGCAGGACAAAGTAGAACTGCCCCCTGGGACTCCCAAGGCCATAAATCTTAACTGAAGCAGACAACCACATCCTTCTGCAGAGCAGCTGGGAAGCTCAAACCTGTGCCTCTTCAGTGAGCAGCTGAGTACTTTAACCACTCTGCCGTCAGGACCCCTGTCAGGATGACAGAAGGATTAAAAAGTAATTATGATTCGATGTAACTGCCTTCTAATGGGGCTAGTCCTAACATGCTGTGGAAACATGGAGGGAGGAGCCATTCATTTTACCTTTGGCGTTAGGAGAAGGAAGCCTTCCGAGCAGGACATTTAAGCTGGATCTTAGAGTAGGAGCTGTGGTGGTGTGGGGCTACCCTAAGGTCAGCAATTCAAACCCACCAGACTCTCTGTGGGAGAAAGAGGAGGCTGCCTGCGTCTGTAAACATTTAGTCTCAGAAGCCCTATTTAGAATCAGCATCGACTTGATGGCCGTGGATTTGCTGTTGTTTAGAGAGTGAGTAGGAGTCAACAAGGAAGAAAAATATGGAAAGAAATTTGAAAAGACAGTACAAGAGAGCTGACAGGTTTGGAATTTCGTATTATATTCAGTGCTTGACTAGATGTCTCAAGTGATGTGTGAGAGGACTGGCAGAAGATGGAGCAAGAGGTGGGTAAAGGGTGTTGTGATCTTTGCTACAGCAATTCAGTTGGGCTCTGATGATATCAGCAGACACAACAAAGTAGCATCATTGTCATAAAGACAGTGTAATGACATCATTATGGTTTCTGGAAGACAGGTGGGAGGTGGCAGAGACTGAAAGCAAGGGTCTACTGACATTAAGCTACTGAAATCCTGGGTCTAGGTAAGAGATGAGCTGGTTGAGTGGTTAATGACGAGGAGCCCGGGTGGCGTGGTGGCTCTGTTTGAGCCACTGTATCAATAGCTCGTTGAGGGTCTTTCTCTCGTTCACCGACCCTCTACATTTCCAGGCATAATACTCGTGTCCTCCTGATAACACGGCCCAAGTATGTTAGACAAAGTCTTACCATTCTCACTTCTTTTTTCCATTTGACATTTTATAATGAAAAAAATTATTATGAATTGAGTGAAGATGTGTAGAGAAAAATCAGGTTTCCATGCAACAGTTCATAAATAATTTGTTTCATGTTATTGATTATCATCCCACAGTGAAATATCATTTATTCCACTTTGGTCCTATGTTTCCCAATCCCATTCTTCCTCTTTCCTAGCCTTTCTGAACTTTATTCATGGTAAATACTGATATTTTGATTTCAAATGGTTGATTATTTTAAATCATGCATATAATACTTGTGTTATACACCTGGCCATTGTTTGCTGAAAATTGAGCTGGGGGCAAATTCAATTCCAGATCTGGATGGTGATTAAGGGCCATATTCCTAGGGGTTCCACTAGTCTCTAGCTGATCAGTAAACCCAGGCTTTCTTTTTTCTTTTTTTAAATTAAATCATTTTATTGGGGTCTCATACAACTCTTAGCACAATCCACACATACATCCATTGTGTCCAGCACATTTGCTTCCCTCATCATTCTCAAAACATTTGCTCTCCATTTGAGCCCCTGGTACTTGAGCTCCTCATTTTCCCCCTCCCTCCCTGCTCCCCCTTTCCCCATGAACTCTTGATAATTTATGAATTATTTTTATTTTGTCATATCTTACACTGCCCGACAACTCCCTTCACAGACTTCTCCGCTATCTGTCCCCCAGGGAGGAGTTTATATATTGATCCTTGTAATCTGTTCCCCCTTTCCACCCCACCTTCCCTCCACTCTCCCAGTATTGCCACTCACCACTGGTCCTGAGGGGTTCATCTGTCCTGGATTCCCTGTGTTTCCAGTTCCTATCTGTGCCAGTGTACATGCTCTGGTCTAGCTGAATTCGTAAG